ATGGCTAACGAAATAAATCTAGCCCCTTGCCGTGATGAATCGTGGGCTTTGATCAGATATTACTGTCGATCAGGTGTGGCATAAGTAACAACAACAACTGAACTGAACTCAGTGGCGCAACAACCCATAAGGGTCAAGGCCTACTGTGCCTATCTCAATGTACGTGGCCTAAGGCGCTGGGGTGTATGAACAGATGTTTCGGTCAAATGATCAGTCTGACGTGAAACCCCAAGCGTTCAGTTCCCAAGCAAGCTTGGTACTCATTTGTCAATTCACTGAAGGGATGAAAGGCTGAATCAACCTTGCCCAGCCTGAAATTTGAACCCAGACCTGTGGCGTGGAAGCGCGATGCACTATCACTCAGCCATTGGGCTTGTAACAACATTTACAAGTACCTTTTTTTAAAAAACTTTGCAATATTCGCGTTGTATTGTTTCACAGTCTGAGTTTATTTCATTGTATTCATTCTACTTCTTTCAGTAAAATTCCGTTCATTTTCGAAAGATGGTTTATGCAAATGGATTAAGAAATTAAGTGAACTGCACATTCTAGCTTTTACATAAAAGATCCATCTCAGAAGAAGCCGAGAGTAGAGACACGAGAACCATTTAGTTCTCGAAAAAGAAGAACAAAATTATCTGTGATGTTCGATTATCAAACATCATTGAAATGATGATCGAAAATTATCTATGAAGTCTGGTGTTCGATTTTCTGGACACCTTTCAGTTATAATGTAAGAGAAACAGACTGATTTAAAAACTTTTAACAAAATCTTTTTAAATAAAACAAATACGCTAGTTATAACTGCAAATGAAGCATTCGGTAAAAAACTTCTCAGCAAACCCCTATTAATATTCAATACATTTCTAAAATTTAAAAATATTAAGTTTCGAGGTTTTTTTCTTTTGATTTATCTTTTTATTTGATTTCCAATTACTCTGCTGCCCACAAAAAATTCAACACCAAGAAGGATCAGAGATATCATTGCGAAATTTATTTGGCAGATAATATGTTGTGTACAAAGATCAAATGATTAAAAATCGCGATGTTTCAGGCAGAAGCGGGATTCGTCAGTAAACACAATGTCATTCCATTCCGTTGTCCATGTCCTCCGTTCACCGCACCATTGGCGGCCCAAACACCTGTAGTTTCCAGTCAAGGGTAAACGAAGCAATGGACGTCTTACGGCATTCCACTCTGCTGCAAACAGCGTCGAATGGTACGAGTGGACACCGAATAATCTGTTGTGCTATGGTTCATGATGTGGCTACGCGATTCATCACTGCCATGCGCACAATCTGCCTGTCATCACGGGCAGTGGTGTAACGAGGTGAGTGCAATAGGCCCCGTCGGTCCGTCGTTTCCTCCTGCATCCAGCGATGACAGATCCGCATCACAGTTGCTTGATTTAGTCCGACACGTTGACTGATTTCTCTAAAGGATAATTCACAATCCTTGTAGGCTGCTAAACTTCCTCGGTCAAACTCAGAAATCTGGTCAAAAGACGCTCGGTGTCTTCCACGAGGCATAGGTAAATAGTTTACGGGGAAAAAACACCCGCACGAAAAAACAACCGTTGTACTTCAAATCGCCAATCTGTTCTCCGCTTATATAGCGCCTCTGGGTGGCGCTGTAATGTGTGTATGCGCTGTTAATGATTTGCATATTTCATCGCCGCCAACGCATGATGTAAATTTCACATGGTTTGCATGCTTCCTTCAGAATGACGCATTTTCTGTGGCCAGCAGTGTATAAATTGCAATGTGCACTAAAACCAGGAGCTCCAAAAACGTGCGCTGAAGTCTCGCAAACTATTCAAAAGGGTGTTTACCTTTAACTTAACATATGAATTATACTTTGAATTAGGTACGGCCCCATATAAATACGTTAGTTCAAAAAGGGCGCTGCAAAAAAAATGGGAACCATTGAATTAAGCCAGAGGTAGGCAAGGTACCCTGTTGCAATTGAAACAAGATAACTAAGGTATCAAAAGAGCCAGCTCTTCTTAAGGCATGAATCAACCAGGCCAGAGCCCAAGGCCTCGGTCACAATAGGGGCCTCGCCTCTTTCTCGACTCCGCATTAATAAGATCATAATTCGAATTACTTCAAAGGCCAAATGCTATTCGCGGTTGTATTCTCCGAAAAACTGGGAATTTCGAACGATATATCAACTGACTACATGTGATGAACGTTGTCCACGTACAGACCTGAGCCTACCTCCACACACCATCATTATTCATTCAGTCAAAAGGCGGCAGTTGGTCGAGCCGGTGTGTGCGATTGTACGCCATGCACATTTATTTCCTTCAAGTTATTGTTTGTACGAGTATTTGACAACGTATGCTATGGTGCTGTCTACTTTTAAGGGTCATAGGTGGTGCCTACATTTGTGTAACGTAACTCACTCTTCTTGAGGCCCTGGACTTCAAGAAGTCTTAAGATGTCCCTGAAAAGAGTCATTAATATGTGTACGCGTGCGCAGGAGTGTGTGGTGGGGGGAGGACTTGTAGTAGCAGTCTTAATCAAGATTGCCACGGTGCAATTAATATTTTTTTTAAATAAAGTTTTACGCAAAGTAGTATTTTATATTCCTACAAAAACTAACTATCGAGGACATTTTTATTTCTGTAGCTCACAATACAAAAGCAATTATTGTGTCAATATCAGGGGCGTAGCTACCACCGTATCAACGATACGGGGCCCCATCATATGTACAGTGGCGATTTCAGCTCATTTCGGGCCCTGGGCGCAGAAGATTTACAGGCCCTTTTGCCACTGGAGGATCGAAATTTATAACCATAAAATCTGGTCAAGTCCAAGTTATCCGGACCCTACTGGGACCCTCCAGGCCCCGGGCCCCTGGGATAAACCGGCTATGCATATGTAGGCAAAACAATTGTAACATGTTAAAGGGGCCCCAAAAAAGTGTGTCCTAAATATTTTGATATAGGGCCTACTCAGATCTAGTGGTCAAAATATCATAATTTAATGTTTAAGTTTCTTGAAGGAATGCCAGTACCAAAATAACATTGCAAGTACTTTAAAATGGAACTTCATGTTTATACATATTAAAATTGACTTTAATTGTTATTGAATATAAAAATTGTATTAATCTTTAAGCACATGTCACAGAATACGGAATGTGTGTCTTACTTCCGTTGAAGATTAAAATATTTCATGTACGCAAATAAAGGTTGCTGGAAAACCCTCAGAGGAGTGTCTTCCCATGACGGTATTTCTACCAAATAATTAGACTTATACTGCTTTATAACCACTGGCGTTGCTAGTCCTGCATGGGCCCTGTAGCAAAATACCTTGAGGGGCTCTTTCGGGGGGCCACTTAAGATTTTACAATGTTTTTCTCACACATTTTGGGGTCCTTGTAGTTTGGGGGGGCGGCGGATCATGGATACGGCGGTAGTTACTCCCCTGTTTATAACTAATTCTAATGTTTTTACTGATTCCCGATAACCTTTGTTTATGGTAT